TTCGTTATAACGAGAGATGTCTGTAACGGTCACTGCTACTATGGTCCAAGAAAGAAAAATTAATCAAAGCGAGATAAGGAATTCATTGATGCATTTGAAAACGCTGATGAATTATATTTTCCCCAGCGATGATGCCGAACGTACGCCATTACACTTTGCTGCAATCAACGGTTCAAAGAAATGCATGGATTGCATTCTAAACAAGCATCCAGATTGCCTCAACTTTGTAGACGATGACCAGGTACCCATTAGACTCTCCCATAGACCTAATCGGTTAAGGCGTTGCTATAAACGTTTCCACCCAATTCAAACCACCCGGGAGTAAGTTTCATTGTTCGTTGTATTTTCATTTCACAGTTAATTCTTAGAAACAAAAGTTATTTTTCCGTTAGCCGATTAGGTCCATAGTATTGTGTTTTCGTGAATGCCCGGTTAAACACATTTTTTGCTTTTCTCACTCTGTTAGAATACTGCATTGAATCTCGCTGCCTTGCATGGCCATCACGAATTGGTGGAAGAGCTGATGTCAAGAACAAACCAAGAGATTCTTATGAATAACTTCAACCAAAATGCCCTGGACATAGCCATTAAGAAAGAGAAGAAAGACGTTGCCATGACAATAGCTAACCATGACAGGTAAAACGACATAAACCCGTGAAAAATTGCTATATTGAGGTCACAAGTCCGTGAAATTGATCTCACACTTATGCTTCTTAAGCGAGAAGCTAGCGAGAAAGGTACTAATATTCGTTTTGGCTCCAGGTGGAGAGAGCTGATGGACACTTCATCGCCTGGGGGACTGGGTCAAATGAAAGTTCTGCTGGTCAAAATGCCTGATGTCGCAGAGGTAATAAAGAAAGGAATATAAACGATAAATTTAGTACTTGGTTCATGTTTTCATATGTATGTTAAGTATTTGTATTTTATCAATAGCGTATTCTTGACCGTTGTATTATCAAGGAAGGGGATTCGCTGAAGGAAGATTACAAGGTAATTATTCATCAAAGAAAATGTAAAATCAATATTAAGACTGACAAAAGTAAAAACAAAGTAAATTATCYATGTAGATATAGAGGATATTACATGGGCGCGCGGAGATACGGATTTTATCTT